ATAACATTAAATAATATTCATTAAACAAATAGGAAAACCATTAAATGTATATATAAGACAAGTGTGTTCAAAACGAAGAAAACAACAAGTACAGAGTATAAGTTATGTAATGTATAAAATAAGTAATCTAAATGTAAACGCATATATTATACAACCATATTTAATGAAACATGATTATATATATAATAATGTATATTATAATAATATTATTATATTTTCTACAACTAATATAGTTAATACTATGAATTCTGTGCTATAAATAATATAAAATGCTATTTGATAAATTAGAGGATATATTTACTTATAAAATGCTCCGTATACTGTAACATATATTATTATTATATATTTTTAGGATAAGAGGAAATAATTAATTATACAATGTTATAATGTAATAATATACCTAAAATCTTATTTATATATTTTTAATCTTGTTCTTATTGATGATAATAAAAACATCCTTATATATAAATATATATACATAAAAAAAATATAATATTTATTAATAAAATTTATTTTTTCCAATGTAGAGTAAGCATAATACTATAAATAATAATGCGAAAAATCATTCTCGATAGAAAAATATAAATATTCTAATAATATAAAGCATAAATATTCCAGTTTATGTTGTATTATATTAATATATGTTTTCTTTTGTAATATACAGTAGCATTTATTTTATGTTACATGTAACTCTTCGTTACTTTTGTATTCCATTCTGTCATATAAAACAATAATGAGAGAAAAAAATAAATTTTATTCATATTATAAATTATAATACTATTTTGTAGTTTTATTAATTCTACTTAAAATATACTAAGTAAGTTACTTATTATTACTTATATAACATATATATATAATTAAGTAATATTATATATACATAATTTATATGTATGAAACGTGTGCAATATTATAATATATAATATAGGATATAAATAATTCTACATAATATATAAATCAATTGTTATTGTCTTATCATTTTCGAGCAATTTTTATTATATTTATATTTTATGTATAATACACTTATGAATGCAAGGAATTCTAAAATATGCAATATATATAATATTGGAATTATTATATATTATTGCATAATAACAGAATAAAATACAAATACCAATAGTTTACACTGTGTTGTAATAATACATTTTTTATGAGGTGTATAAATATAACGTCATGATGAATGGGGGATATTATACAGTTTTAGATTCATCATTATATTTATTAATTTATATAATTATTTTGCACTATCATTTTATTACATTTCAATTAAGAACACAAAAAAGGAAGACGAAAAAAATAAGCACTAATAAAAAATAAAAGTGAGGTAAAAATCTTGAATCATCATATATTTCTTAAGAATGTTGTATATCTATAACGAAAAATTATTTATTTTCTGTATTATAAATAAGATACATAAAATATTACTAACAATTTGTGTATGAATTATTAGTACTAAAATAATTATAATAATGAAATATGAGATATCATATGTAATGCTACTTTGGGAAAAAAAAATTAAGTCAAACAATAATTATTTTTGCTAGTTCCATCAATAATGTATAAATAGTACAATAATAAATATTTCAGATTCTTTATTTTATTATCATAAAAAAAAATCTAATATATTATACGTATATTATTATATATAATGCTAAAAGTAATATTTGAACTAATATTTTCAATATATTTGAATGAGATTCACTTATTTTAAAAAATATAATATCTTCTATAGAAATAACTAATGATAAGGAATAATATAGTGATAATATAGTAACATTTGTCTACGGAAATTTAAAAAAAAAAAAAAAAAAATCACTCATTTTATTACACGATATTATTTAACTGCTTTTTCTATATGAATTACTTCTAATACTTGTTTCCTTAAATAAAACACAGTTTACATATAGTTATCCTAGGAGAATTAAATTTTCATCTTATATTATAGTATATATATTGAGAAATATATTGTATACGAATTCGGTATGTAATTAAATAAAATTTTAATATTTATTATAATAAATCATTCATTATATCACTACATAAACATATGCATTCTAGTAATAATTAATGTGAAAGTAAAATATTAAATGATGAATATTAAATTTCATTTTATAATAGGTTACATTGTAAATAATTATAATGTTAATCAGAATAAAATATAATATATCTTAATAAATAAAACACTAAAAATGAAATATATGTTAATTGTGTTGTTAATAAAAGAAAAATTATTATATGATTTTAATATAAGAGACCTAGATCTATATAACGAATCGAGTATATAAATTAATCCAGAATCTCTTTTAGATTAAATTCTAATAAAAAATATACATATATTTTTTTGTTATAAATTAAATGAATTTGTTATATGATGTAAGCAATTTTATAAACAAAAAAAATTAATATTTTTTTTATAAGGCTCTAAGGACAATTGTGAAATAAATGATAGTATAAGGACCATTAAATTTTAATAATACATTCAAAAAAATTATTTTTTTTTTTTTAAACATACATATATTACGCATTATATTATTACATATATTAAAATAATATTATGTAATGTAAAGCTTTTGTATTTGCTTTTATTAAATTAATTGAAAAATATATATATATATATATAACACCTATTATGCTTAAATATCATTGACTAATACCCAGTAGAAATGGTTAATATATTATTAATATTCTAAAAATAATATTTTATTTCATATTGTACTATTTTATCATTATGTTTATAACATTATTTTATACAAAAAATAAAATTTTATTTGAATATTTACATTGTATTCACATAATTTGTAATTTATAATTCCAGATATTAAATTATATCCATATATAATTGGAAGGAATATTATATTAATCCCTCTGAAATCAAAATGTATTTTAAAAGAAACTATCAATAATATATATACCTATGACGTATATATCATATTTTCTATATATTATAATGATTATTATAAGATAGTAACCATGTATTTTGTATTCTCTTTATAAATAAATCATGTCTATCCCTATAATTCCTTCTAATGTAATTCTACGTTTTTTTAAAAAAAAAATAAAAAGATAAATAAACAATAACCCTCAAAATATATGAAACATGCGTATCATTTATTACAACTATTAAGCTATTTTCGTTTTTCTATCAGCAAATATTAAACATATATGTAAATTTATAATTAATAATATATTTTATGTTAAACATATTATTTTATTAAAATATCACATATTGATTATTATATATAAATATATAATTCAATTTTATAATACAGATTATATTACAAGCAATATACATTTTGTTAAAAATAAGAAAATATAAATACAAAATTTATACAAAATATTTATATATTTGCTTGATAAAATTTTCATTTATTATTAATATCACCTTATTTTCAATATATATATTCAAGAAAAAGATATACATATATAAATATTATCGTATAATAGATTCATTATATAAATATATATATTCCCAGAGTATTATATTGAATAAATAATTTATTATATGATTATTATATGTATAAAAATAATACAAAATATTATTCCTATAATTTTTTATTTTTATATAATTTCAGATTTCTATATATTTCTTTCATATCATTTAATCAAATGGATTATTACTTCTCCTGTGTAGAACGCTTATAAAATCACGTTCTATTATATACGAAGAATCAAATAAAAATATAAATTAAAATTTTTTTTTACAATATATATGTTGTATATTGAAGTATATTTTATATATATATTGTATGTAATATAATATGCTTACTCATGTACACTTATAATTACAATAATATTAACATTATTTTGTATAGATTGCATAAATAGCACAATGTCTGCCCATGTAATTATAAAAAAAAAATGCTTTTGTTTCTATGATTAATATAAATTAAAATTTACAATAACTAATTTTAAATTATTGATAAGAATATAAACATAGGAAAAAATACTTTTTTATCCATATTATTTTAATCTTTTATATTTATTATAACTTCTTTACAGTTCAATTTTATGAATATATTTCCAACCTGTTTGGATCAATATAATAATCATACAAAGAACCTCCCAGGGGAAGATAATTTAAAACTTCAACAACCTTGTATGACTATTACAAATATTTTTAATTTTCTCCAAAGCAAGGAGAGCTTTATGCCAAAATGCGAAGAACTTATAATATATTTAGACTATATAAATAGCATATCAACCACTTCTGATATAGAACCATGTTGCAAATATTTCAACTATAAACTAAAACAAATACTAAATTTTCAAAAAAACTATACCGAAGGCACTAAAGTAGCTTACAGGAGGATGACTACAATCACGAATTCAATAACATATAAGAATTTTCCTGATATATGTAAAAATCATGTTGATGATATTGATGAGAAAACATTTAAAATATTGGAAACACTGGATAACCTATATAGTATATTAAAAAGAGATGGTAATAAATGCCCTTCTGAGACTGAATGTTATGAGAAGTTCATGGAACTATCAAAAATTTGTGATACATTGAACAACGATAGTCTTCATGACTTGCTAAGTAATTTTAAAAAAGAAAATATAAAAATTATAGAAGATACAAAAAACATGGTACAAGTTAATTCAAAACAAGAGGTTCATGCAGTTTCACATCACACATCTGGAATTAATCCACGCACTATTATTTTAGTTTTATTTACTATTTCATTTACTACATTAATGATTACATTCTTTCTTTATAAGGTTAATAATTAAATTAATATATTTATAATTGTATTACAGTTTAAAATACATGTAATTATGGAAAAATTATATTAAATATATAATACGCATATAAATATATGTGTCAAATTTTTCCTATAATATCAGTATACACCATCTGTATCTTTTTTACATTCAATAGCATGTATAATAAGGAGAATGTGCAAAAGAAAAGATAAACAGAATATAAAATTATTAATTTCTTTTGAAAATGATAATGAAGAATTAGTTAATGAAAGTTCTCAAATATCATACAACGCAATACAATACTTCTAAAAAATGTAAAAGGTGGGATCAGGCTTTTATACTATATTCTACGTAATATAATCATTAACACCATAGGATTAATAGTTTATGTATTAAGTTTTATTTATATTTTACACTTTATTTCAACGTTTTATCTTTTACTTAATTATATCCGAAAGTTTTAAACATATAATTCGTGAAATTATTTTCACCATATTTCATAAAAATGAATAATACTTATTAATGATATAGTATAGTCCTTGTCCACATATTAATATATGTTAGTATAAAATATTAATAAAATTTAATATGTTCATTATTTATAATATATTTAGATATTTTCCATATATATATTATAATTTATATTTTTAATAGACAATATATATATTTGGGTGCCTTTGTAAAATTATTTCTATATAAATTTAATAATAATATATATAATGTTAACATATATGATATAATTACACGTTTTATTATTATGTTTACAATTTTTCCTATTTTACGATATAGTATAGATATTTATTATAATAATTACCTCATATTTCATAATTCATTATTTTTAAACTACCATGTATTATGATTATTTTATATACTAAACTTCCATTGAATTTACTGTATTTTATACATCTTATACATATTTAAATTTTTTATATTAGGCATTCATTAATTACAGTTATATTTCAAGAGTTACATATATTATATATATCTTTAGTAATAGGAAATAATATTTAAAATAATTTTTTTAATAAAAATATTATGAAGCATAGTGTTATGAATATTTTTATTTCAATAAACTGCTGTAATATACAGAGTATGATTTTCAAGTTTTTTTACAATTATTTTTACTAAATTGTTCATAGACTGTTATCAGAATGAAATATGTAATTGGATAACAACTATATCATCGATTATATAAACGAATACTTTGGAACATTTTTTTTACTTAAATGTATCTCAAAAATTATTTTTTTAAAGAATGCTTATCTCATTCCCCAATTAAAAATCTTATATATGACTTTTATATGTAGATTCAAATTTTTTGGTTTATTATAAAAAAAAAAATAACTATAAATAAAAATAATTATTTTGTTTATAAGGCTTTTCTTTTTGCTACTTGATTATAAGGATATGATACACCAAATTATGATCAGAAGAATCTTCGACACTTGATCTTCTATCATCAGATTTATCTAGTACAAATTCAGACCTACATTTAACAAGATTAGCATGTGAGAAAATATAAGATGTAGCGTTTGAATTTATTATATGAGCACGTGAATTATACTTATCTGCAGAGTTATATAGAGTACAATTATATTTTACTTCATTAGTGGCTCTTTTATATGTATCAATTTTAACTATAACTCTATAACACAATATAAAATTATAAAAATTTTTCAGAATCAGCTTAACAGCTAAGTTGATTATTTTGAGAACAATATTAATAAATGTGATATAATCCCAATTTTATACTTGGATTACATTCATGTATTTTGTTTGATTTTATATATTGAAAATATTCATTTCCTTATATTCCCAAATTTGATACATATCTATAGTTAAATAAAAATCCTGTTGAAATTAGTAATAGTACAACATTATTAGACGAATAATCACTTGTATCTAATGATAATAAGGTTGTAGTTTTATCAGATTAAAAAATAATTTATAAACATTATTGGCATAGTATATTACCTTCATTATCATTTTGAATTATATGTTTATCTTTTGCAATTTTGTTTTTTAGATAACTTTCAGAATGATATTCAATATAAATTAACTTAACCTGAATCATTTAATTCACTCCTGTATTTCTTACATTCGTTATTGAATACATTTATTACCTATATTATTGCAATAATAAATATATAATGAAATATGTTACTGCTAAAACATATAGATGTAATATATCATATTTTAGGAAATATCATTATTCCTCATTCTTTATGAAAAATATGGTATATAGAATATTTCATAACATTCATTAAGGTCTTTTTATATTTTGTTATTATATATTCATATAATCCAGAAATATTTTCAAGAAATATAATAAAAATATATTCACCATTTTTATATATATTTTGTTCTTATACATCATATTATTTTAAACATTTTAAAACTACTGAATTTATATGATATTAGTTACTATGAAAGATAATAACTGTTATACTGCTAATTCAAAATATATTATTTCTTTTTATTCATTACTTTTTTTTTTTTATTCTATTAAAAAATTAATTTTGTAAAATATATTTTTTATATGAGAATAATAATAGATTAACGGGTATTTAATTTTTTACTATCATGGTATTATATTATCACATTAGTGGAAGCATGAAATATAATTCTTAACAGTATTATAAATTAGTGATCCTTACCATTGCATTAGAACATTTAGAATACGAATATATTTATTACTGCTGCTAAATATATTTGCATCTATCCTTATTTACATAGGCAGAGGTAAAAATAATTGTTATCGCAAAGATTAAAATAAGGGATTTTTATATGTTTATTCATTAAATTTATAAAACTTCCAATATAAGATAATGTCAGTTATAGAAATAAATTATTGCTAAAATATAAATTAGAGATAAAGGTTATTATAAAAGTATACAAAAATATGTAATAATGGATTTATAAAGGTTTCATTTAAATGTCACTAGCAAATGATATGAGACTAGTTCTATATAAATTTAATTAGATATATATACATATTTTATTATAATAATAATACACCAAATATATATATTGTCTACTCTAAATGCTTTATTTCTTAGTTTAAGTGTAATTTTTTTTTTTTTTTATAAAGAATCTTATTGGTAAATACTCTTGTAGTTGTTTTTTTATGTCAAAAAAAATATTGTGTTCCTAAACATCATTATCATGGCGCACGAAATAAATTTGAATTTTATAGTGAATCATGTTAAAACTATGTAAATATTATATTAAAATTATATGTATATTTATATATTATTAAAAAATTTATTTGTGAGTCAAAATTCTAATTAATGCTTAAGACAAAATAAAATGGATATATCATAAAAATGAATTATTTATTTTTTAATCTTGTAAACAAATTCATATCATTTAAGTTATATAAGTTTGTTTTAGAATATATGTAGAAAATATTAACATGATATACTCTGCAAATATATTTGTAATATGATTTTTTATAAAAAAAATATCTATTTTTTTTATTATTTTTTTTATGAGTCTGTATTCTATCTATTTCAATTTAGCGTTACTTCATTGTAATTTCGTATACGAGGAGTAAAATGGTATGGAAAACTGTTTGAAAAAATATAAAGCCTTGTACAAGTCAATATATTTTATAGTTAACGAATATTTAATATAGAGCACATATATATTTAGATTTATAAAAATAATATCTTATATTAATCAAAAGATTTTCTTTACCTTTTTATTTGTTGTATTGTCAATAGCATTTCTTCTTTTCCTCTTGATTCCTTTTCCATGTATAATTTTTTCATTGCATATAAATAATCTATCAAATGACATTTATCATTTATAATACTTATATTAATATAAAATAAATAGCCTGTTGCGAATAATTTAGAATTAATTACTCTCCAATTAATATATCATTTTATTAATATTTTACTGCTATATGTTTATCACATTTTGAATACATATTTATAGAAGCAGATAAATTATCTTATGTTTTTTTATTTATATTTGTTAAATATAGTACATAATTTTTACAGCCTAAATGCTGAAAATTATTTCATTAATTATATAAATGTCTATTCACTCATTTCATATGTTATATACAAGTATTTTAAATAAGTGCTGGTAACTATGAATATGTTCATTTAATTTCTTATATATGTGTTCATTAAGATTATTCATACCCTCGATAATACTGTTAGTGGATTAATATTGTTTTAAGCATAAAATACGCTTTCATGTATGAATCAATGCAAAAATTATTTCATTAATTGCATTAATACTTTTCAAATATATTAATCGTTATTACACAATTTATGGACAACCTGAACTAATAATACTTCCTCTAAAATTGAGGAAATGAAGTTACCTTAAAATGCCCTTCCGACATTTAATTGTGTGATTTCCTGTATTTTGCAAATTATGTAATAATACCCATTACGGCAGTTGTAATACATTCATATATGTAATTCTATTGTTATATTAGTTAATTGCACAATAAGTATAATGATATAGGATGTTAAAAAAGCATCAATTCCATTCAGAATAGGATCAATATAAAAAAACAAATTAATACATATATATGCTTTAAGATAATTTTTTAATGCTTATCTGTACAATATAAATATAATTTACTTTAGAATATAGTAAAAACTACTGCAATGTAGTGTCACATGAAATTATTTTTACATACATATATGAAGTAAAGAAAATAAATTCTATAATTAAATAATAAATTATGAAACATAAATCAAGATAGACTTTTATATACGCCAAGTGTGGGTGAAATATTGAATTACAGGTATACACAAATGTTATTAAGTTATATAATCGCCATAATTCCAATATATTTCAGCGCTCACATTAATTTAGCAATAGAAAAACTTTAATGATTATATATCTTTGAATATTTATTAGAGGGTTAGACAATTTTATGTGTTAAAAAAGTATTAAATTAATTGTATATATATGTACAACTAAAAATTATGATGAATATATATTATGTATTTTGTATAAAGAAATATAATAATATAATTTTGACACTTTAATAAGATTAGAATTATCGTTTTAAAAATATATTGGTATAATAATGAAATTTACACAGCATTTTGTGCATGATTTAATTTTAATTTTTATTTAAATTTTGTTTTAATCATATTCAGAATTATTTATATTAATATAGAAATCTTATTACCATATTAGCATTTATATTACTCAAATAAATTGATTTTTATAACATTATACCATAATTATAAGGATTTATAAATCGTGTCTTTTTACGGTTACGTATAAGTAGCAGAATATTCCCAATATATAATCATTCAAATTCAACATTTATTTATATTTTTATTTTTGTATTATATATTTGTTCATATTATATATAATGTAGAAAGCTAATTAATTGTGTTATTTTTAGTGTATATATTTCTAAATCGTGCTTTCACAGATACAGTAAAATTAAATATCTTGTCAATATGACAATTTGCACAAATTATTAATATATTAAATATAACTATAAATACTTTTATACATGTTTTTATGGTAACTATTGGTTATAAAAAAATTATAGATTTTAAAGTTCTTTTGTTTTCAACAAAAAATATATTCATTATATGGGGATACACCAAATATTATATTTCAGTTTCCTTACAGTAAAAAAAATTAATATATTTCTTCACTTGTTTTTAAAATTTTTTACATAAATATGTTCTTATTTTTTAATATATATAAGTAATATATCTTTTAATCATTTTATATTATTTAAAAAAATTTAAATTCAATTTATTTTAATTTTTTTTTGATAATAATTTTTTAGAAGTTTCATATTGATCTATA